CTATAAAAAGCAAATAAGTAATTACAAGGGAGAGCACACATACAAAGGACATAAACCAGCTTGCTAGTAACCTTTACCAACAAGAATAAAATGCACTGTTAAATTAATGGCAATTGTTCATGAGCTGTCAGTTTTCTCAAGAGTAGAGCATACCAGAAATTAAGAAACAGAGCATTTTCATCTTTTGCTTAATGAGGAATAACGAGAGAGAGTGTAATCATCTAATTTCTAGCAAACAACCACACTATTCTCACTAACAAGAGGAGATGTAGAAAATATCCCCAGAGAAAAGAGAGCATCTCTCCACCATACTGCTTAATGTCAATATCACCATCAACTTGCATTGAATTACTCTCAATTTACTCCTCGTTCCAGTTTAGGAAGGAGATTCAGACTCAGAGTAGGATTTACTTACTAGTAAATATTATTCTAAAAAATAAGATGTACCCACCAGTTTTATTCTGAGTTGATGCCATATGCTCTTCATCTCATTTAAAATGAATAACCAGAAACCTGTTGGTTCCCATAGGCAAAGATTCTCCCTTCTTCCAGTCAGTAAGTAGTCAATTTCCCTTTTCTGAGCCCCACAGTCCTACCTCACATGCACTGCTGGACATGAATAAAACCCTCTGCCTTGGGCACAGGATGTGTGTACTGGGGGAAATCAGCATGAAGGAATCCAGCTCTTCTGTCTGTGTTGGTTCTGTACAACTTTTCTACAAGCCGAGTCTCAGAACAAAACTTATTCCCTAGCCATGAAACTCAACAATTATTAGTTGTGAGTTTGAAAAAAGGCTTTCTTTTCAAATGAGTCATAAAAACCATTCTCCTTTGATAGAAAGAAAGCAATTTATACTCATAATTACAAAGGAGAATAGATATGTTTCTAGAGAAGTAACCCCAGATGCCCATATATTCACACTACCCTGTTACATTGTAGCTAAAAGTATTTATGAGCATGTTTTGCAGGCAGGTAGAGTTGAAGTGGAAGCAAAGTGATTCATATAAATAGGAGTGAAATATCAATAGCATTTCAAGGTGTATCCTGAAGGCTGTAAATGCATGTAGGAAAATAATGACATTAAGTGCCATTAGGTCTGTATGCCTATGCATACAGGAGAGATGTTACCCTTTTGTGCACCTTGTGTTTCTTTTATAAATGGTTTTCAGCTACTTTCTGATCGTAAAGATGAGTATTCTGCAGGTAAAAGTTGAATTCATAGAGACATCACGTAATCAGATTCTGTTTTGAATTCCTACCTCAGATATGCTTGAATGACTTTTTTTTTTACACTTCAAAAAATCTCTCAGAAAATGCTTCATTTGAAACTAGGTTTCTTGAAATGAGAATTTTAAAGCATTGTTTTCACTGACATTTTATTTCTGTGAGTGAAATATATGTCAGATTAAAAAACCCAAAGTGTCAGAAAAAAGGTAGTCTTAATACCTGTGATTCTAATAATGTCTTTTGTATTATTACTGTTGTAAAAAAATTGAGAACAGTACTCAGATTCTTAGAGAACTTTCAGTTTTCAAAAGCAAAAGGAGAAAATTAAACCTAATTAATGAATTGTCCAAGGCATACCTTGTTATTACCCTCATTTTACAATTAGAAAAAAAAGAAAGAAATTAAGCCCAGGGTGCCCAGGGTTTGTTTTCCCATTTTCTTAAACAGTAACTGACTTCTACAATCAGTGCAGTTTGTGGGGAACTAAAAGCAGATGAGAACTTGCACACCTGATGGAACCATGGCGGCATTCGGATCCTTCCCTTCCTGTGGGGCTGCACCTCCCCAGCCACAGTTCCTTTAGAGACCTGAGATTGGTTGTGGTTAAGCTGCACTGTCATGTTTGTGTGAGACTGATGGAGGCCCTCTTCCTGATAATTTCATGAGTAGTCTGTTTATTCTAGGTACTCTCTGTAAGATTTGATGCTGTATGTGAAGTCTGGTGGTGCACAGAAGCTCCAGCCCTGCACTTGAGAAGCTCTGGTATGACTTCCTAGCCAGAGTAGGTGCCGTCCTGAAGTGCTGAGCACTGAAAGCAAGGCCAGCTATGGCTTGGAATGTCTGAAGATTTCTTACCATCTTTCTGCCACTATTATTAGGAAAACAGATATGTAATATTAAATTAAACTACTCACTTGTATAAACTCCTTTTGTCCTCCACTTTACTAGATCCTGAGTCCCTGTGTAATGTATGTTAGGAAGCTTCAATCAGCTGGATATCTACACAGGGATTTGAGATGTCTCTGTGCTCAGTCTGCTGCAAGGTATATCAGCCATTCCCTTTCATCAGACTGTGTTCCAGGACTAACAGGCTTTGAAATCTGTAGCACTTTCTTTCAGAATCGATCTGTGTCATAATTTGGGTTTTTTAGTTCTGTATGCTTTTTGAATTCCCAAATTCCTCATTATTCTTCTATTACTAGTGAAGCAACCTTATTCAACCAAGCTACTTTTAATAATGTCCATATGGCATGAAAGTCTAACACAGAAACTTACTTTCATAGTCTTTCATGTGAATAATTATGTGCCTTAAAGCTATTATGTGGTAGTAAAATTAACTTTCATAATTAATTCATCCCATGAACAGACAGAGTAACTGTCTGTTTACAATAGTCTGAAAAGGGAAGAGAAAGTTACTCTGGTTTTCTTGATGCTGAGGGACATGTGATAGAGGTAGGAGAGAGCTTCTCTCCCACTGGAAGTTATTTTAAAAAAACAGGTTATAAGGCTAATTGTTTCAAAATCTAATAGATACTCATAAATAATTACCAGAACTATTGTCTTTGTAGTTTGTGTGCTCATGTCTCCAATCATCTACAATGTGTGTAAAAAATAATTTGATTTTCTTTTAAATCCTATTTAATTTTCTGTAATGATAAAGAGGCCACCATCTTTCTTGCTAATGCTGCTTTTCAGACTGTCCTTTATTGTTTGAAAATGGCTCTGCTTTTTCACCACTTTCTGCTTCCTCACATCCATATACTACTCTGTCAGTGACCTCCTTCATAAAGGCTAATGACCAGCACCTCAGGCTGCAGAAGTTGTATTGGTTTCTTTTGACTTCCTAAGAACCCTTTTTACTCAGACTGACAGTAAAAAAGGCCAGACTATACTTCATGTTGTATTCACTCAAATGACTGAAACCCAACTTAGATAGGATTTTGGGGTTTTTTAAACTTAGTTATTAATTTTCCAGATTCTCCACATGGGAAGTTTTGACTACTCAGTCTAGAAATATGGTTTTCTTTATGCAGTTTAACACCCTTGGGTAGAGAGACCTAGACAAAGAAAGTATTCAGAAGCTTAATTGCTTTGTTCTGGGCCTCAATAACAATATATTATAGCAACTTTATAATTAACGTAAAGATAGAAATCAGTTATTATTTACACCATAGTAGGTAGAATCCATGTGATACTGGTGTATAGCTCTAATTTGACGTTCAAATTTACATTGCATCAAGCTGAACAAAGACAAAATTATTCTGCAGATAGAAAACATCATGAGAAAAATGTCTGTTTAACATTCTTGAGCATCTACCATCATTTGCATTGTAACTAGATTATGTCATTTCTAAAATAGGAAGCCACTATTTTCACTAATATTAGTTAAAATTAAAGTATGAACTTTTTGGTTCAGGTAAGTAAAGACAGCAGAAATGAGTTTGTGCTTGTATGCAAGAACAAATAAATCCTTTCTAATCTGTAATCAGATAAAAGCTTGGACTGTTTGTTTTCATCTTAAATGCTTCTTACAGATAATTCTAATGTGTTTGAAAAGATAGCACTATGCTAGTGAGAACTTTAGGAGAGGTAGATTTCTTTGCATCAACCAGATGGAGGAAAGTTATGAACAAAGTTAATATACATTTGTACCTGCATTTTAAAAATCCTGCAAATTCAGGTGTCTGAGTGACTTTAGGGTGAGAGGAAGCAAGTTGCAGGTTGCACCAGGGGAGGCTTAAATTGAATGTTAGGAAAAATTGCTTTATGTAAAGTATTGTCAAGCATTGGAACAGGGAAATGGTTGAGTGACCATCCCTGGGAGTATTTAACAGATGTGTTGAGATTCTTTGGCTTCTGTTGTTTTCACCATAGGTGCTAAGTAGTAGTGACCTCCAAAGATTGCCTGTGAACATTTGTCTTCATAAGAAACTGGGTCTATCACTGCTTTCCCCACATCAAGCATCAGAGATATCTCTTCTTTAAATGCTCAATAGCATCTTATAAAGAAGATTTAACTGAGAAAGAGCTAGAATGCAAAAAATTTTGTTTATCTCATTCCTTTACTTCCTGAACCATAGTGCAGGGATGGGTGTGACACATACCAGTGCTCACCACACAGACCAGAAAGGATAGGGGAAATTAAAACCCTTTTAGCTGCCCCACCCAACCTCTTGAAAAGTGTACTGAAGCTTTAGAGAGATTTAGAGAAATAGAGAAAGTGTTACAAGAAACCGTGGCTATTGGAAAATGTCTGTTTTCACCTGATCCTAACCATCAGTTAGCTTCATAGTGGCTGCTGAATTTTAAATAACACCTTACTTAAAGAGTTTCCAGACAGAAACATGCAACCATTTTCCTGCAGAGTATGAGACATCTATATTTTGCTGTTTTAAAAAAAAAAAATTAGGTAGGGGAGCCTTCTGGTAATGCAAATGATGAACATAGCCTAGAGAAGGTTTTTGCTGTGAAGTAAAATTATTTCATTAAATTTTCTCCTTCCATATCAGGTAAAACAAGTTGACTAACCTCACATAAGATCAACAAGACCCTCTGTCCTGGGTTGATTATGATGTTAAATTGCCTTAAACCAGGACACCCTCATTAAGCCCACAAACTTCCCGTCAAAAAAACAACAGAAAATTAATGCCTACATCAAGTTCGAACTTATGCAAATGTAACATATCTGAGCCTCACATAATAATGGAATTGCTGAGTCCTGTAATGCTGGATAATCAACTTAATCAGACTTATTGAATTGCTCTTTCCACAGATCTGTACCCCAGATTTGGTGGTATTTCTGGCATGTTCCAGTCAAAGGCTGAAAGAAAGGTTACTGAAGCGTGCAGAACAGCAAGGAAGACCTGATGATAACCTGAAAGCCACTCAGAGAAGATTAATGAATTTCAAGCAGAATGCAGTTCCACTGGTTAAATATTTCCAGGAAAAAGGGCTGATAATCACAGTAAGTCCTTTAGTGTATATCTCTGAACCTTATTGTTGTGGCTGTACTTGGCTTCTCGTACCTTTTGCTTTAAGACAGGCTTGACGAGTTCAATTCTGTTTTAGGTTAATAGCACAGCTACTCAAGTGTTTAATGAAGACAATGAATTCATTGAGCAGTTGACAACAGTTGAATTATTGGCATGTGCTAAGTTACAGACTGTGTCTGGTTGTAATAACACACAGAACTTGGTGCCACATATGGTATGAGAACACAGATGGCCTGTTTCATTTCTTTTGATACCCTACATAGTTCACATTGGTATGTGCTCTCACAGCAAGTGTGACTCTCTGTGTGCTGGTCAGACTCATGACAGGTTAAAGCATCCTCAATTGCAAAGTCATCAATTGGAATTATTCGCCTTAATTATGTACTTCAGCATCTTTCTGAATTTCAAGATGAAAATCCCAGAAAATTATTACATTAGCTTCTCCAGAGAATATGTGTTTAGGTTTAGGATTATGATTAATTCAGTTTTTAAGGATGAGAGGACTAAAATTTCTGCAAGCCTTTCTTTATTGTTGAGGAAGTGTGTATTTTGTGATGCTCCTACAGCCTTTACAAGTGCTCCTATGGTCTGCACGTTTAAGTCCTCAGGAAATACATGCCTTTGTGCATAAAGGAAGTGGGGCATCTGGATAGAATTGCATTTCTGTTATGGGACCTGTACAACAGAAGATTTTGTTTTTATGGATCTTTCTTCTACTTTCTAACTCTGTTTCTTGAGAGTTCTGAAGATAGATTAAATTGCAATGTTCACCTTGGATAACCTCTTTTCTTTTTGAAGAAAGCAGATGTTTATGGTGGGTATAGAAGTGACAAAATGGCATATGAACATTAAATTACTCTACTACAGCACAAAGGAAACAGCATATACAGAAAATATTGCACTTATTCATGCTATTTCCCCAGAGAAGGAGGAAGAAAGAAAGAAAATAGCATTCATCCTGCTGGTTATAATGCTGAACCTGGAAGACATTGAAATACTATGCAGATGAGAGCAGTGTAAGAACTAGAATAGCATAAAATAGAATTACAGTAGCCTAATTCCTAGAGGAGTGAATCCTTGAGGCAAGGTCAGACAAAGTCAACATTGACTAGAAGGAAATAAAAAGATTTACATTTTTCTTAAATCCCTACCTGCACCTCGTCACTGCTATTCAAAACCCTAAACCTCAGACACTTCTAGCCAGCATCACAATTCTACTCAGGGGAGAAAAGCAGAACCATTTGTCTTACAGAGTGCTATAATTTTAGAATCACAGCTCATATTTTATACATGTACTTAATAAATATATTGTTCTTCATCAATAGCAGACCAAAAGAGAAAAGAAAAAATCACTGAAATATAACTAAATATGATTAATAAGCAGGCATTATATATATATATCATTATAATCTACTGTTAGACACTTTATGAGCAAGAAATAAAAATCTAAATTCCCAAAGAAGATTAATTTTCATGCTCCAACAGTTATTCCATACTGCTTTTAACATACTTTGCTTAATAGAAATAAGAGCCACATTCTTCATTACATCTCTTATTGGTTAAGTTCCTTAGCTGTAAATCTTTCCCTTCATCTTTTTTTTCACATGATCTGTGGTAATTTGCTACAGTACCCAGGTTGTACTTGTTTGATGCTCTGTATGCCTTATGTTCTCAGTCTGTGCATGGTGTACCTGCTCTCACGGTCTGATCCTTGTTTCTGTTTTTAAGGTAAGAAGTGAGGCCCCCATCTACGGTACTTCTAAGAAATAGGGAAATACAACTCTGTCCTTTCTGAAAAACTCCCTGGTTGGAATAATGATATGTAAAGTTCATTATAATTAACAGAGTAAATATGTGATATTTTCATGAACACACAGTCTGTATTTAAAATTCATTTTAGCAATCTGTCAGTAGTCTAACAAATCAGAATCTGACTTAACTCAAATTTAAATTCAGAAGGTATCAAGACTATAATGACACAATGTTGGACAGAGAGTATGTAAATAGATGCATATGCTGCCGTTTACTGTTTCAGGAACTTTCAACAAACATTAAAACATTATGTATTGTTTACCTAGACAATAACTGCACAAAAATTGCCTGGTGGTGGTGGGAGATATTAGTTAGATTAAGTTATAGGAGGGAGAACATGTAGGTACATAGGTGACCTTGAGTACTCTGATATTTAGCAGCGAACTTCAGTTCTGGACACAGATTTCCAAATCTCCAGTTTATGTGGAATGTAATTCATTATAGATAATGGTGTAGCTCTTGGAGATCACTGGGTTACAAAAATCTTTCAGTCAACAGTTATTAATGCCACTCTCAGAGAGCTTAGCTGTTCTAAGCTGATATGTTTGTAGAACATATCCCGTGGTCTAGACAGAAAAAAGTTTACAGAGCTCATGGTCTTAGCAGTAGAAGTTTCTCTTACTGGAAGCAGGATTTGGTCCAGTCTGCCTTACTGACAGTGATTCTATATAAACTTAGAACTGCAGTGTCAACCTTGTTACATTAATAAGTCTGTGTGCATTTAAGGGGAGAAAATGAAAGACTGGCTGTAGTGAGACAAAAATACTAAACATTAAAAGAAGACCCTGGTCTTTATTTAAACAGCCAGAACAAGACAGCATCCTGTGGCATCCATGAAATGTGGACTTCTCTGATATCCTCATTGTTCCACTTGTCCTTTTAGGGAATTTACTGTACTTATGAAAACATTAAAATGACATTCAGATTAGTCAGAGAAGTAAAGAGAACCCAGAAAAAGTAGCTGAAGCTGGAAATTGATTCTGAGCACAAATTTAGAAGTTAAACAGTTGTGGGTGAGGGAAGTAGCTGTCTGCCCTCGTAAGCATCAAACAAGCCTAATGGCTGTCAACTGTCACAGAAAAATTCCCCATGGAACTGTTATATAATTTTTTTCTCTTGTTTTGGTTAAAAAAGGAGTTTTGCTATAGAACCTGTACATTGAAATGAACTTTATCTAAAGGCTGTGACTTACCAAAATGCTGCTGAAAATATCAGTTATAGTTTATAAATAAAGTTTCTCTGTTATCATACAGCTGCCCAACTTGAGGTGTTGGTTTGGGCTTTTTATTTGTTTGTGTCTGAATGCTGATTCCATAAGACTTGTGCTTACTCATTCTTCCTTTAATTTTTGGCCCTTCCCCGGAGAAATGTGGCTCCTGCAGTCCTTTAAGCAGCTCCCAAGGTCTACTCAAATCTCACTGATAGCAAACAATTATGAAAGGCTTCATAGGAACCCTCACCCTGCTTTCCAGGTCCTAACAGGAGCCTCTGCCAGGCATGTCTCCCAAACCAGAATCCAGCTCAGAGAATCTTCTCTTCAGTGGAGGAACATGCATCTGGTTTGGCAGAACAAAGGATGAGTAGACACCTTTGTTTTCCTGGTGCCGATATTTGCACCCATCCATGCAGTTTTTGCATTAAACAGTCATTAAAAAAGAAAATTTTAAAAATCCCACTCCTCCTTCCCTGAAGTGATGCTAGGAATAGGGATTGTTAGCCACCACCTCCCCCGCGTGCTCTCACCTCCCTGCTGCAGGCTCAGAATCCCATTTACGTGCCATCTGATGCCTGGATCTTGCATCCTTGGCTGCAAAGTGATACAGACTTGGCAGGAATGGTTTCCCTCAAATGTAGCCTCACTGGTATCTGAGCATGGCCTTTCTTCCCACAGGTCAGAGATGGGGATTTGAACCTGCTTTGTTTTCTAGAGTATTGAGCTGAGATTTCCTATTAATTGGCCCAATGCCACCAAAGTATTTTCAGATGCCTCTCAGTAGTTTTAAAAATACAGCAGCCATAAGCACAGTCTTTTAGGAACATTTTCAATGTGTTTTTAACCTGACTACTACATGGGATCTTGAGAGTACTTCTGACTTCTTGGTCATGACCAAGTGGACATGCAAAGAGGAACCCAGATAGTCTGTAGCATCTGGAGCAAACCTTCAATTTTTTTGGACATTTTTAAATGGAACCAGCAACGTAGGCAGCTGTTTGTGGGAACCTTGAGACCAGAGGTTTTGTTTGAGATTCAGGGGTCTTCTTTTATTTTACTGTATGGTAAATCATTATCTGGCTCCATGAATGTATATGGTTATATAATAATTTAAACATTTCTATAGAGAGAAAATTAGAGGGTGGGATGGGAAATAACAACTATCACATTTTCATTTTTTGGTGATTCAAAGCAGTGAAAGCTAAGTTGAAGCCTAAAACAAGTAACCAGAGCTCTGCAGTCAGAGAAAGCTGTTACTTAAAATTAAGGTTTTCTGTGTCTCTCCTGTATTTGATAGCCCTTTTGCAGAAAAATTGGGCTATGAGCAAGAACCTGTGTTTCCTGTAAAACTGCTGAACTAGAGAAAGTTTACACATGTTCTAATCTCTGCTAGGTTTTACACTGTCTCAACACTATTTATGTGTTACTGTTTTGTGAGATTTTGAAGAAAAAAGCAGGTCTGTAAATGAATTTTATCTAGAAATAAGTGTAAACAAACTGTTTGTAAATATATGCACATTTTATATGGGAACGATAGATGAGCAATTTGTGCATATATAGAAGCATGTGCACCACAAACACTTCCAAGCTTCAAAATATTTTCAGCTTCCCATTTCATGCTTTATGTCAACAAGTATATCAGAAATACCAATGTCTGCCAGAGAATGACCAAGGATGGAAACTTGCCATCTGTGTAGATAGAAGCATGCAGAAGAACCTTGAGGGTAGAAATTCTTTGCTGAGGTGAATAGTATCAGTGCAACACCACGTTCTTTTCTAACTTTGGAAGTATGATAATTTAAATAGATACCAGCTTTTTGAAAGTTACCCTGCCTTTGGTACACCCAGTGGCTTGAATGAAGCAGAAGATTTTGAAAAAAATGAAATAAACTTTGACCAGTATGGCTATAGAATTAGGCAGTGATGAGTGCATGGGCCAACCTGATT